GCCAAATCCAATGTCACGAAGATTTTCTTCTAAGAGTGTAATAGTCTTAGCTCTTATATTTAGGTTTTTGATCCATCATACATTATATTTGATATGTTGAACCCTGTGAATGCATCACCTTTAAAAAAAATTACACAGGAGTGTGATGGATGGTGAGAGCCTGTAGTATCAGCTGTGAGGGAGGATTGCTTGCAATACAGCAGGACCCTGTCTCAAAAAAAAAAAAAAAATTCAGACAAGAAAGCTGGCAAATAAATAACTTTTAGGCTTTATTGGGTTAAAATTGTATAGTCATTTGGCCAGAATTGACAACTTTGTAGATTCAAACTTCACATATAGAAAGTTATTATGTAAGTTAATTTATTTGTAGGGCTTTTTATGTAGCTGATTAAATATTTGAAATTTTCTTTATATAAGCTTTGCATATTTCATTCACGATTCCTAGGTAGATTATATTTTTATTGCTACTCTAAATACCACATGTCCCCATTATATTTTTTCATTGTTGCTTGCTGGCTTTCAGGAAAACAAGGATTAAAAAAAAATTTATATTGCATATGTTCACTTTAATGAACTCTCTTATTAGCTATAATCATTCTAATATTTTGTTCCCAATGGCTTCTCTAGAATTGTCTATCTGGGAGAAAATATGCTTATCTCTATTTCCAGATGATGTTTGTCTACTAGTATAAACTTACATTATCTCCTAAAAATTATTGGAGAGTTAGTAAGGTGGTTATCATAAGTTGGCTAGCTCTAAATTAAACATAAAGTTTGATTGTTTTCCTTTATAGCTAGAAAATATATTAGAAAAATCCCTTTCAAATTACTGGAAAAAATGTAATAACAAAAAATAAAATAGTCTTCTTCCATTAATTTTAACTCATTTTTCTTTCCTGCATTCCTAAGTATAGTTACTAAGAGCGCAGACTTTGATAATGGAAACCTGACATTTACTAACCATGTAACTTTTGGCAATAAAACTCTGTAAACCTCAGTTTCTGCACCAGAAAGGTGTTATCACACTCCCTACCTCATGAGGTTGTTGTGATAATTAAATGAAGTAATCCCTGTGAAATCCTATATTTTAAACATAAAATATAGTTATTATTGTTAATTTCTTGGGCAAGACATCTAGAACAACGTTATATGATGAGATCATAGAAGGCATTCTTTTATTCCCTATGACTTTAAAGAGAATACTGTTAGTGTTTCAACATTAAGCCTAATGCTTACCAAGTTGGATTTACCTTGAATGAAGCTTCAGATTCAGTCTTTCACATACACATGCCCTTCCAAGGCCTTGAGCAATGTGTTCATATGATCATATATTTTTATAAAATTTGCAAAATTTTACATCATATTTCCACACTGTCAGTTGGCATTGGAGTTAGTATGACATATTAGTTATTTATTGCTACATAAAAACAAAATCTCCAAAACTTAAAACAATAATCATTTATTAGTTCAAAATTCTGTGAGTAGGCAATTTTGGCTGGCTTCTGCTGGTTGGTTCTTCTGCTGGTCTTTCCTGGGCTCACTCATGTGGCTGCAGTCAGATGGTGGGATGCCTGGGGGATGAAGACTTCCTGATGGCCTCACTCACATGTCTGAGGTCATGGAGAAACTGTGCTTCATGTCTCTAGCATGTAGCAGACTATTATTGGCTAATTCACATGGAAACTATATTCCTTTTGCCAATACCACACTGTCATGATTTACTAAAACTTTGAGTCCTCCAACTATGTTTTTTTCATAGTTGTTTTGGCAATTTTAGTTCATTTGCTTTTCCATACAAATTTTAGAATAATCTTGTTAACATCTACTAAAATTTCTTGCTGAGATATCTACTGGGATTGTGTTGTATCTATAGATCTAAGTGGGGGGAATTGATATCTTAACAATTGATTCTTTTAGTTCATGGATGATGGTCTATTTTTCCACTGATTTAGATCTTCTTTTATTTCTTTTATTAGTGATTTGCAGTTTTTGCATACAGAAATTGTTCATATTTTGTTAGATTTATTTCTAAGTATTTCACTTTTTTGTGATATGGTGGTTTTTATTTTGATTAATTTGTAATTCCAATTGTTCATTGCTAATATATATGAATATGATTGACTTTCATATATTCACTTTGATCTCTGCAACCTTGCTCAATTCACTTATTAGTTCTAAGAAATGTTTTATAGATTCTTTGGAATTTTGTATATAAACAATCATGTCAAGTGCAAATAGAAAATTTTGTTTTTTTCTTTTCAGTCTATATGCCTCTTTATTATTTTTCTTGCCTTATTGCACTTGTCAGGATTTCCAGTATGATGCTATATAGGCATGGTGATGGATGATATCTTGCCATTTTCCTGATCTTCAGAGAAAGCATTCAGTCTCTCACCATTCAGCATGGTGCTGAGTAGGAGCGGTGAGAGACTGGTAGGTGTAGATGCCCTTTATTAGGTTAAGGAAGTTCATTTGTATTCTTAGTTTGTTGAGAGTTTTTATCACAAATGGATGTTAAATTTTGTTTAATGCTTTTTCTGTAACTAATGACATGATCGTATTATTTTTAAGATTTAGTCTGTTAATATAATGATTTTTTTTTTTTTGAGACAGAGTCTCACTCTACTGCCCTGAGTAGAGTGCCATGGCGTCAGCCTAGCTCACAGCAACCTCAAACTCCTGGGCTCAAGCGATCCTCCTTCCTCAGCCTCCCGAGTAGCTGGGACTACAGGCATGCGCCACCATGCCCGGCTAATTTTTTCTATATATTTTTAGTTGTCCAGCTAATTTCTTTCTATTTTTAGTAGAGACGGGGTCTCGCTCTTGCTCAGGCTGGTTTCGAACTCCTGAGCTCAAACAATCCACCCGCCTCGGCCTCCCAGAGAGCTAGGATTACAGGCATGAGCCACCGCGCCCGGCCTGTTAATATAATGATTACTTTCATTGTTATTTGAATGTCGGAGTAGCCTGAATTCCTAGAATGAACCCCACTTGATTGGGAAATAGTATCATTTTTATATATTACTGGATTTGCTGATTCAAGTTTCTGTAGTATCTTTTTTTTTTTTTTTTACCATTTCAAATGTGGATTTTATTTTGGCATAGTATTTTGGATTTCTTTCCATTTCTCTCATTTCAGTCATCTCCCCTTTACCTCTGCCTTTATTTCAATTTATTTTCTCTTTATGGCTTCATCTCCTTCATCTGCTTTATAAAGACTCTATCTTCTAGCTTATCTTGGAAGATGCCAATTTAATTCCTTTTCTTAAATTAAACTTTTTTGTATTTTATCATGAACAGGTTAAAGTGTACAATTACTAGAAGACATTCATTTTATGTGGACCTGCTGGACTGCATTAGATCTTTTCTTGCTTTAATAGTTGGAGTCTCTGATTTACTGGAACACAAGATACATTTTTTTCCGGTAGAGTGTTATATAAAATGTTGTTATCTCCACATGTGCTAATCCTGATATTCTTTTGTGTTTTACTTCTCAGTCAATGTTTTCATCTACGTATACGTAGGCAACTAATAATGATTGGATATACTCTATCTCCAAATACCTTCCTGCTGTGTTGAGCACTAGAAATTGTAGTTTTTGAACAGATAAAGGAAGAGAGGAAATAATAAAGTAGAAGAATCAAAGAACATGGCTGTTTGTG